TGAAGGCTGACATGCAAGAAGCTTGTTACAAGCGTTCAAAAAGGACATAACTGTCCTCTCTTCCACACCTGGTATTTCTTACGGAAGATATTTAGCATTTTCCAGACACAGCACCTAACATGCCTGCCTTGAATTACCCTGCCCAAAGATCAGACATGACACAGGAAAGGTGAAGGACAAGCCCTGCACAATTTCATTCATTTTGCAGGCTGTTTTCAGAATAGCATTCCACCAATGAAGCATGTTCAACCTGTGATCTCCTCTAATAATTTTTCTCCTCCATGAAAACACTACCAAACCTATTGTTTCCCATTGTGTAGTTGAGTATTTATTACACCTGTTTGTTCAATAGGTATCTGCACCTATTGAATAAAGACAGTTTTCAACTATACCTTCAACTCAACAAGGCTATTTGATTTCTGTTCCTGTCCTCCAGCCCACCCACAGCTCCTCCTAAACACATCTTACAGGCAGCATGCCTTCACACTTACATTTCCAACTAGTTACTTCCATGTGACTATGAAGCCTACTCTGAAGGCTACTCATCACTTTCCACCAATAGGTGTTCTTCGTGGCACTCAAACTCACAGGCCATTAAACTTCATATATTCCTTTCTTAGCAGATGCCTGGAGAGTTGAAAGCCATTACTTCTACCAGCTCATATGCTTTGGAGCTTGTGCTAGTTGCTAATAAAAAGGCAAGATCATCTGATTTTCTCCACACAGTGGTCTCATGATATCAGAACAATGTTTCAGCCCTTTTCTTCCAATACCATTCAGAGAAACCCAAAGAGGTCTACCTTTCACCATGGTCTTCAGACTTGTGAAGAAACACCTATATACCCATTCCTGACACAGAGGGTAATGCCTCGGTTGTTATTTCCTTGCACTCTCTTTATGTAAAGTTGTCCCTCTCACGGTCATTCCAGTTGCCCGAGTAACTCCTCAGATGTCCAGTTCTTAATGCTTTTGTTTTTAATCACTGATGAGTGCCAACAGCAGCTATCTGCCAAGAAAGCTGCACAAGGCCAGCGTAAGCAGGGCTGCACGCATCTACTCCTTGATGAGCTCTGTGAAGGTGGCCCACCTCCTTCATCCTCTCACCATCGACCAGCCCTGCTTTGCCAGCCACAGCAGGTTGGACACGGCTGTTTCAGGTGCCCCCGACAAAAGTGGTGGGTGAGCTCCACATGAGCTTCAGCATCCTCCCATGTTCCAGGAAGAACTGGCTGGTTTTTGTGCAATAAGGAAGTACCAGGGCAAGAGAGAGGTGGGAGAGGGAAGGGCAGAAGGAAAAGGCTTCCTTCGTCCTTCATTTACAGTGGAAGAACAGGTTTGTTTAATTGCATTTTAATTAGTGAGAATTAGATCGCAATTTTGTGAGGTGCACCACAGAGCCTACATCTGAAAGGGTCTGAGGAACCTTTTTTTAAGGGTTAGGTAGCTGCAATGCCTGCGGACAGAGGATAGAAAATAACTTGAGTTAAGAAAGTAAATTGCAGAGAGCTCAGAATGACAGAGGCTCCTGCTTTGAAATGGAGATCAAAAAATTCCTCTGAAACTGAACCATATTTCATATCTCCAAAGGTTGAGTGCTACTAAAAGTGGTTTTGGACAGCAGAAGGATGCGTCACACAACGACAGTTTTCAAACTGCACTGCATTAGACGGCCACCCTGCCCACACGCCAGCTCCCTGCAAGCACCACCACCTCTTTTTTTTTTTTTGACTTCCTGCCAAAACGCATGAGTCAGAGCATTACTAGGACCTGCATGCTGCTAGATACCCAGGCTGCTCTCCAGAGATCTGGAGAAAGAAGAGTGGGAAGCCCCTCAATCTGCTTTTCCTCCAGCATGCCTGGGTTTGGGGACCTCCCAGTGACAGCAGCCTAACCCAACAGAAGCATAGAGGAACTGCCAAATGACCAAGGACTTTAATATTATGTTTCTTTTCAGAGGAAAAAGCTTGTTTTCATCTGAAGTCTTAGCTTGAGAAATTAACTATAGCCTGGGAATTTTACACCATAGATTAGACATGTATTTCTACCAAGCAGCATCATGAACCTTATCGGCCAGCTTCTGCACAAAGATCATTCCCAAGGTAGAGGTCTATTTTGAGAGGCACAGAGCAGCAAGGCTTCTGGAAAATAGATGGGCAGAGTAACACCATACCATTTGCAGACAATTCAATTATTTTTATTTTTTTTTTCAATGTTATAATAAGGCAACAGCACAGGGAGAAGTGACTGTTACCCCAGCAGATAGTCTCAGCATTCAAGTCAAAGAGCAGTTCTCTAAGGTAGCGCAGAATAAGGCTTCAGGTTAACTATCATTGCAAACATGCCAGCCCCAGGTAAATGTGCCCCTGGGAGGCAGAGGCCACTGTAAACAGGAAAGGACACAGTATTCAAATTGCAGCTGTGAGTGTAGAGAGGCCAGCTGGGGGACACCTCAGCAGCCAGCCAGCCCCTGGGGACGAGAATCCTAGATAAGAAGTTCTCAATTCACTTGCTGCCTCATTATTAGTTGCAATTAGTGCAAGCCATGCTGATGCCAGCTCTGTTTCTGTTGGGGAAACACACAAGGACACTAATGCGTGACCCAATGTCACCAACACGCGCTGTTCAAGGAGATTGCTGGGATCTCTTACACTGCTGAACAAGTGTGGCTGAAGCCCCCTTGTCACCCCGGCAGCCTCCACACACCGGCACAGCTCGGCACCGTGCTGCTGGCACGGCTCGGCAGGTGCTTGTGAGGTTTAACTCTTCAATCTGTGCTGGTTCACTATTCACCCTGGCACCTCACAGGTAGGGGTGACATTGGCATCGCAGCCACCCTGCCCTACATACCCCCCTCCCCTCCCTACACCCCTCTTACAGCACTTTGCTAATTCTGTCCTCAGTTTCGTGTCATACATCCTGGTCCATGGGCCTTGTCTTTGTCAGGGAACAGGTTCCTCGCTGCTAATGCCTCCAAGCCCTCTCCCATGCAAACATCTAGTCTTCGTGGCACAACTGAGGTGTCTGATACCCTCCTGGAAAATACGGTACCTCAACGCTCTCCCTTTGCACAGAGAAACGTGAATAAGGAATACTGAAGGAGATATACCCAATTAAACTGTTTAGTAAGCAGTTATAATTACATCAAGCCGAGGCAGCTGCAAAGGGGATAACAACAACCTGGTCTGCTGTTAGAGAATGACCACCCAGCTCCATGGGTACCACAACAGCAGGCTCAGGGAACTCCAGAAGCAGTAGTTTGCAGCAGCCAGTTGTTTTCAACAGGAAAGATTAAACATACTTTTTTAAAAATATATATCTAGTAATAAATATTCACAAATATAGTAATAAGATAAAACAGTAATAAATTTGCACTGTGACCCTATACTAAAGCATTCACGTGCCTTTAAACCCAGATCAATAGCCTGGGAACCTTGGACCAACCTTAATAGTAAGTTACAGGTGCTAACTACATTGAGCTGATATGAAGCCCTGTAAAGCAGGAACCTGAGTAACCATTTTAGATAAAAATCTCATGGTTTAGACAATATTACCTGTACATTCTAGACCTCAAATTTACTTGCCATAGCAGTCAATAGTTATCTTCCATTGCCCAGGTGACCCATAAGTATTCCCTGCAGAGCATATACAGGAGGTAAAGTAAAAGAACTGGTTGTCCAAAGGAATTTTCCAGAGAGAACAGATTTTCTCTGGCTCCTCACCCATTAAACCTACCCCTGTTCTTCAGAGACCCAAAGGAGAAAAATGACAGCAGATGAGCTTTTATTCTACTGGTTGATATCTGAACTAATGGCCTAAGACATTCAGCAGAATTATAAAACAGCAAGTGGCTCACCTCCAAGTACTGGAATTAATCCTAGGATCCTGACAGCTCCTTGTTATGAGGAGCAGACTCCAAAAAGATGACTCAGTCTGTGAGCAGGGAGTGCTGAGTCACCAAGCACCTGATCTTCAGCCTAAGGATTTGGGCTCCCAGCATGCCCTTGCATCCCCCTGCACCACCACCCACCTTGCCAGCAGCAGGCACCACACAGCCATGCAGGATACCTAATCAGTGAGTGAAGTTCCACAAACTTTAATTAGCATTAGGTGTTTCTGCAGGAAGATATAGAAGGTGACCAGACATTGGTAACAGCATGGGCCTAGCTTTGCTGCCTCTTCTCCACAGAGGACACTGGTCTGCTCACTGAGGAGCGGGCAAACCCAGCACTAGCAGATCTACGCAGGGTGGCCACGCACTATTTGAAACTTGGATGTGACTGTACCGTCATCTTGCAAAGCACCATCACTCAAGGGCTGGCCAAAACCACCCAATGAAACCCTCTTGTTCATACAGATTAACCATGACCCTTACCAGCTGCTTTTCATGGGAACTTTAAAACAAAAGTTGGACACGTGCAAGACAGGCAAGCTCCCTCAGCCACCACACCTGGTAGGGGAGAGCTGGACATGAAGTACCAGAGCCATGGGAGTGATGCTGAGGAACATGAGCCTCCTGCTCAGCCCATTGAAATAAGAGCCTGGGTCTCATGTTTCTCCAGCTGCAGCTCCAAACTGAAGAACTTCCAAAAGTTCAGCTATATTCTCTAGGAGGACAAAGCCCCAGCACTTGAGGCAGAAATGCCTTGCTGCCAGCTCTCTTAATGGTGCTCATGGGCTTTTCTCACAAGGGTTTGTCTCACCTGCTGAACCCGCCTCAGCCACTCTTAACTTACTGCTGCACAGAGAAGAGAACAACATGAAGCCAAGTAAGCCAGTGATATGATTTAAAAAGGAAAAACAAGACTGAGGCTGATGCAAAAATCTAGGCACGGGAACAACACAGAAGAGAGACTTTGACTCAAGCTCTAGAGCAAGTCTACTTCAAGTTACCACACATCCCATCACAGCAAAAGCAGTGCTGTCATCGGTGACTTGCCAGTAATTAACGACATTTTTGGGGACTGTAACACATCCGAGATGGATGTGCAGTTTGTACCTACCTTTTCCCTTTCTGTCACCATCACCTCGCTGTTACGCTGGTTATTAACCTCCTCACCTAGGGCACGAGAAAGAACTATACAATCACTAAATGTCATCGGGCAGTTTGTAAACACTGCTCCAGTTTGGAGCAGTTCTGACAGTTAAGGTATAACTGCAGAGTAAATATAAACTGTACTCTTTCAACGGCAGAAAGATAGATCTCAACAGATGATAACGCATCTGAGAAAGAGTGGAGAAAAACAAACAAATCTCTACAGAGAACTTTGAATAAGAGATTATTTTCTTCTTTGTTCCCTTTAATGCAGGCTATCAATTTCAGGAGCAAAAGTCCATCAGGAGGTTACAGATAAGCAGAGCTCTACTTTTTCAATGTATGTGACATTTATTTGGCCACTTACTAAAACACTGGACAAGTCTCTAGAACGTATTTTTAAGCATGCAACTCAAGGACTTCATACAGAGTATGTATCAGGAAAAGATTATCTTCCAAGAAGTTTCAGAAAGAAATTCCCTGTGAAACAAACTAATGTTGTAAAGGAGCACAGAAAACAAGTATTAGCTAGAGACAAAATAATTACAAGAAGTTACTGTCTTGTCTTCCATAGTAATAAAACCCAACAGTTCCTTCACTAAAAGCCCAGGGGTTCAATATTAAGTCCAAGCCAGGGCATAAATCCAGCCGGCGTGTTGGACTAGCAACATTTCGTACCATCCTCAGACACCTGGATTTTCACTTGGAGTATTAAAAAGTGTTTCTGACTTACCTAGTAACCAAGGGAACACCAAGAACATGGACTAGGCAACTGATTCAATACTTAAAAAACATGTGCAGCCCTTGCTGTCACATCTAAGCATTTAATTCCTTGTCTCATCGTCCCAGGGCAGCTCCTGTGGGGCAGACGGGACTGAATTACAAAGACTCAGAAATGCAGCCACTCATCGTGCTGCTGACCACTGGAATGAGGACTTGCTGACTTAAAAAAAAAAAAAAAAAAAAAAAAAAAAAACAAAAAACCAAAAAACCATAAACCAGATATAATCTGCAGGTTACACATAAAAGAAGAAACTGATACATCACGAGTTGCACTGATGGCAACTAGGTAATTAAAGGCCTCCTTCTCCCAGATCATGAGCTGTCCTGTGTCATTATCCTCCTGAGGGATTCCCCCTTCTCTCCACACAGTATGGCATCTGTTCCTACCAGGGATGTCCATCCCCTCTCAACCCACCACCAGCTGCTAGCCCTCAGCTCCCTTTCCCCAGAGTGCCTCCAGCTGGGCCACCTTGGCACACAATCCAGCCCACATCACATGTGGGGGCCTGAGAGATGACACAAAAGAATGGAGAATGTCTGAGGAGGTGGAGCTGTGGCATTTCCAGTATCTGGCCAGCAATTCATGTCTTTTTCACTCAAGCACTCAATTATATACTCTGTTTTCCCAGAGTATTGAACTAATCATTCAAGAACTTACATAGGAGAACCTGAAAGCTTTTAAGACTACTGCATTGTGAGAGTAAAGTCAAAGTAATGCAGCCTCATAGAAACCTTCTGTCCTGATAATACAGACTTTGAAGCCCCCAGGCTTCAGAAAGGGATGCTCAAGCTGAGCACAGAGCCATCCAAGGTCCCCAGGAGTGAAATGCAGGGACAGCATTTAGGCACCTTTCTGTGAACGCCTACACCCAAGAGCAAGAAACCACCACCGTCCATACAGAGTTTGTGGTCAAAGACTTTCATACATGTATTAGACTCTTCCACTTCTTTGCAGATACATCAGGGCAACCCCAGTTCACTTTGCAACAGAACAGCAAGTATGATTTTTGGCATAAGGAAGACACAAATTCACTTTCTGCATCTCCTGGCAGGTTGCAGAAGACCCTCTTTGAATAATGAATTTTCACAGGAGCAGAGAGAGTCCGTCTTTATAATTCCAGCACTTCATTGAAACATAGGTCAAGTCATTACTCCCATTTCCATTTTCTTTGCATTTGAACCCAACTTTCACATGTTTCAGAAGTGAGAGTGTCCTAATTATGTGGAAACAAACTCTTCTACTTTTATCTCCAGGTCTCAGCAGCCTTACCCAGAAGTCTCACTTGTCAAGTAAAGGCAGTTGTTTCTTATTTTGTGAAACCTAAAACAATTGCTCCAAGTGACATGAATGGCTCTGTTCATGAAGCACTAACTCGGATAGGATATTAGTATCAGTTCTGTTACATTAATCATGTCTCTGTTCAAAAGCAAGTAGGGAAAACAAATCTTTTAGTGAATTATCCACACAAATTTACTGAAAATAGTTTACTGTAGTTGAGAAGTGAACAGGCTGAACGACTACCTGAATTTTCCTTATCTTCTCATTGAGAAAGAGTCAAACAGAGGCTGAAGAAGAATTTTAGATGCTTGAAATAGGAAACCAAGCCCTAGGTGCAGAACAGGGGAGGCTAAAATAGCAGAGGAGAGGAGGAGTGGTAGGGTTGTGGCATTCCCAGCTGGCCGATGTTTATTTTGCAGGTAGAGGTTGGAAGGCCATTATCACACCTCCTTTCCGAAAGGCACCACAAAGTGATCTGCTAATGAATTCGAGTCATTACAGTAAGAGAAAAAGCAGGTCATCCGACCTGTACACGTGGGTTGCGTCATGCCCTTCCCTGTTCCTTTCGGGTACACAACCGAACCACAGCCCGGGCCGCCCGGCGCCGACACCTGCCCGGCCGAGCCCCGCCGGAGCCCCCGCTGCCAGGGACGGCCGCGGTCCCGCACAGGCCCGGGCAGCGGCGGCGGCACAGCGGTGACACAGCTCCGAGCCCGGCCCGAGCCCCCCCCCGTGCCACACCGGCCAGGAGCCGCGGGTCGGCGGAGCATCCCGGCCGCTGTCCCCCCCCATCCCCGGGCGGGCAGAGACCCTCGGGAGAAGGCACCCAGCCTTCGGCCACGGGGAAAGGCGGG